ACAGGCGGGACAGACGGAACAGACCGGACAGGCGGGGCAGACCGGTCAGACGGGATAGACGGGACAGACCGGTCAGACGGGATAGACGGGATAGCCGGGACAGACGGGCCAGGCGGGACAGACGGAACAGACCGGACAGGCGAGACAGACCGGTCAGACGGGATAGACGGGACAGACCGGTCAGACGGGATAGACGGGACATCCAATCACTCGAAAAGTACCGACATGACTATTCTAAGTGTTTCCAGAACAAGTGCCAAAACGTCATCTGTTGACTGCGTTGCCATGGTAAGTAGCCCATCCATCATCTGTGTCAAATATGGCACCAACATTTGAGTGTTTTTCGATCTCTTCAGATGTTCACAAAACCTAAAAATACAAAATCAAAGATACGAAAAGCTTCTCTAGATACCGTTTTAATTAATTCTCGTTCACTAATAATATCTAGAAAACAAAAGTATTTTTGAAGGTAAAATTTTCTAATATTCATATTAACAGGAAGGGACTTAGACTTACTCGTAAACTGCGCGCACTGCACATATTCTGACGGCTGGAAGTTGTGTGGACTGTAAACCACTGACAGACGCTTGTAAAAAGCTGACAAGAAAAAGATAATCACGTGAAGGAAAGAACATCATGTCATGACGCCTCAAAGTCACCTGGCGTGTTCTGATCGATATAATACGCCCCAACTTTACGCAAAATATAGAAAAGCCATGTGGCGGAAATTAGCGCAGTGACATGTCCCAACTTTATCCCGTCACTTGTTGCCTCAGGAAACTGTCGTCATAGCCATGCCAATAGCTGGCAATACCTCCTCGCTTACTTGTTTAACATCTGTTCATCCATCATAAGACTAAACCGACTTCCAACCCACAAGGCCTGACCAACGAGGAAAGGTGAAACTACGAACAAAACATAATGACAGTATCATCACCCTGAAATAACAGCGCAATGTTGAGCATCAAGTTGCATGAATTTGCTGCCTTTGATGAGATTTTCGTTCTTCCTTGACATCATCAAGACCTTCCAATGTATGGTACTTTTTACAAAGGGTTTAACGTACGATATAAGGTGTTACATACCTGACTCTTGTAGTCCTCTTAACACGACATTATTCAAGAAGGATATCAGGTCTTCACGGGCGATCTTGTCGGTCAGTAGAGTCTTGACGCAACCCATTGCAAGCATACACGACTCGTGAATTTTCCACCTGAGAAAATGAAAATAATAATCACAAACGTTTGTTTTATTTACTGATTTGATGCAAGGAAATTTTCTTTATTTTTGGCAAGAGTAAAATCGAACAAATGAATGAAAATATGGACTAACAGAACGGGAAGTAGACAACAGAAAGCGTCACTGGAGTGAGATTGAACCTTTCGTCAACCCATGATATCTGAATGGTTTGGGTTGCACAATAATGAAGATGACTGAATGTAACTGACCAGTTGACGTCTCCTTTTTGTCTGTTAGTGTTTGCCTCTTCCACATGTCTTGTTACTGCTTTTGCTAATGTCACCGCACTGTCGTTCTTGAATTCTGCAGATACAGCCTGGAAAATATGGATCATAAGGTCATCTCAGTTATAAGCCATGAGAAGACCCTCCAAATTTATTAGCTTAACAARGTTTATTTTTTCTGTAGTTAAAGAAAAGCAACAAGCTACAAACCAACAAGACATCCTGAGCTGCTATGCGCACAGAGTAAGAGAAGGTATCATCATCCTCGTCTTCGACAAATTGATTGGGATTGGCTGTCCACACTTGGATCTAAAATTAAAGTTACTCTCAGTTTGTTTTCAAACACATTTTGTTTTAACTCAACAAATCAACTTAGGTGTGGATGGCTATGTATATATTCCACTGTAACTTTTTTTGAAAAATTGGACATAAGGAATTCAAAAGACCTTTTTGCCTTAAATTGGGCATAATGTTTTCCCATTTCAGACCATGTGTCATTCCCTTGAGTATCATTTCTTTGTTTATCATTCTCAAAATAATGAGATATGGTCTAGAATGGGAAAACATTATGCAGAAGGTAAAAAGGGTTTATTGGAAGGCAAGAAGAACAATAACATTGTATACCTGCTCCTCTGTGATCTGCATGTAAAGTAGAAGAAAATATATCAGCTCATTCAGGAACTGCTTGACAATCTTTTTGAATTTCGGTGTCTCAACCAGCCCATGTATGAACTCAAAGACACCAAACACCAGGTTCTCAAATCCAAGGACCTCACCTGTCAAAAGAATCATAGGTCAGTAGTTGGAAATAAGATCAAATTGAAATGTTATTGTATTTACAGTGAGGTGGGGCAAGCATACAAGTGCTTGCAAGTTAAATTTTCCATATTGCATTGACTATGATAGACATGATGCAATGCTTCTTCATCGTTGACAAAAGATTACATTTCCCAAAGAAGAAAATTTATATTTGTTTGCCCAACAACATGGCTTCATTAAACACCTCTACTGCAATGTACTATAGACAAAACAGGGAATACCACAATTATTAGTTTCAAACCTTACCGTCAGAGTCGACAGGATCATCGGCATCTTCTGTATCATTAACCACTGCTTTGACATATTTTTCAGCACTTTGTGTTAATGTGTTCCACACATGCGGGAGAATATTGGCCAGGTATTGACTCGTTTGTTTGGGAAAGTTTTTGACTAGTGTTGTGAGGGCCTAGAATTAGGAATATACATAACAGTTCAAATGGGGGACRAAATATAGTAAATTGAGGTAGAGATCTTGTACAAACTCTCCTCACATGTGATACCAAGTCTGAGAATTAAACCAGTTACCAGAAGTGAGAGGCGAGTGCACTACCATTACACCTCCCTTGATTTCTTAACACATGCTGCAATTGTTTGTACTAGTGGTACTTATGTTGAAACTTCATGGCATACCTTGAGTATCTCCATTTTGAGCCCACAGTCAGACGTCAAGCTGTCAGGCATTGAAAGAAACTGGGTGAAAGCTTGGACAAACTGCGGAAGGACTGGGAACAGGTATCTTTCTGGGGCATCCTGAAAAACAGGTTTTAACAGGTTTAAAAATAACACTCGTCTTATTTCAAGTAAGCTGTATCAGTATATATTTTCTCACGATAAACCCAAAGCTGTGAGAACAGCCAAGAAAAGGTATCTATCCTGAAAAACAGGTTGAAAACAAATTTTTTTTAGAGGAAGTAGTATCACTATATTTTCACTCAAATACAGAATATCCTATTTACCTTCTGATAGTCAGTCATTGCACAGATAAGTCCTGCACAAGTGTTAAAGATGTCTACAGCTCTTGATCTTGTTCTGATACTATATGCCTGGGATAAAAATGATGAGTGAAATTGGTAAAAGCCTCAAAATTAGCACGAAAATTAACAACTAACAATGAATACTTCCCAGGAATTTATTGGACTCAAGCACCTCCTTCAATCTCAAACTAATTTTAAACTTTTCTCCTTCATTCATTGTTTGGCCTACATATAGTTTTTCCTATTAAGTTCACCTATGCATCGTTTCACCTACTGAAGTTCACCTACAAGTAATACACTGAGACTGTTTGTCACATGTCCATATGTACATAATATATAAAACATTAAATCCTACATAGTTATGGAGATTATATAGGTATCTTAAGCACTTGGAGGATCCCTTCCATTAACTATTGCCTAAAAGTACATTCTTCAAAAAAAATCACAGGAGAAGCTCATACAAACAGTTTCGTTTCTGAAGTATTTTCACTTCTTCCATTTGTCCACATGCTTACTTCCAACTGAAGGCAAAATAACATGGTTTTTGAATATTACTGGACTGACCTGGTCTTGAACAAATATGTTGTACATCTCTGGTAGAATCACAGGAGCAACTTGTGAGATCTGGTTGTCTGTTACTTCTCTGCAGAATTCTGAGAAGAAGAAAATGCCAATTTTTCAGAAACTTCACCCTCTCTCTATAGATATTAGTCTAAAAGCCTCTAAGCCATAAGATATTACACCAAGGATCAAGGGTTTCATTAAGGGGCGGGGATCGGAGAATGCTCCAGTAAATAAGCAAAATTTTCTGGATTAAACTACCATTTATCGCTTAGTAATTTGTAAAATGCTCATGACCTTCCACAATCATTTCCAGACTTAATGAAACCCCTGAAGAATTACAGAGGTCTAAAATAGTTAGGGGAGGGACGATACCAGTGAAAAACCCTCAAACTCAAATGTGATGAAAACTCCAAGTCAAACCCAAGACCAGGTGAGAGGCATGTGAGAGGCATATTTACTGCTACAACGCCCTTGATTCCCAACTTGGTGATAATCATGCTCAGCATACCTGTCAATACTCGCATTGCTCCATGTACAAGATTACCATCACCACTAGTTAGTGCTTGCATCAGCTGTCCAAACAATTCAGGCCAAGCATCCGGCCAGTCCCAGTGAGCAATAGCCGATATGGCATATGCCTATATGACACAACAAGACCAGGAAATGTTGCAATTACATAAGGTACTAATGCAATATATCTTATATTGATCATATTGTGATTGCTCATTCTCCTGAGCCAGCACCCCACTGAAAATGCTTGTAACTATTGCTCTTCAAAAAGGACTGGATTCAGTTCTATGGATTTACCTGGTTGTCATGCAAAGGTGTGTATGACAGAAACTATAAACTAAAAAACATACAGAATTTTGCTATTTAACTTCAAAATTATCCCTCAATTATTATTATTWTTAGGTATGCTTACCACACTTGATCTAACTTTACTGATTGACTCTTGTAGACCTGCAGGAAGCAGTCTCCTTATTTCTGTCTTAGCCTGATAATAAAAAAATAGAATCATTTATTAACTTCATAATCATTGACAATTCACATTAACGAGAAAAACTTGGAAGCACAGACTTACTGCTTCTGTCGTCTCTGGAGGGTGATATTTTTCGGAGTCTTGAGACCAATGAGCTTCCACATACTGTTTAAGAATGACTGATGCAAGCTGTCAATCACAAATCAATTCCAAAAAAGCTAAGTTAAATATATGATTATTCATATTGACAAAATTAATGAAAAAGGTCCACTCTTGTACCTGTCTGATTGCTAAGGCTTCACGTACGTCAACAGTCAACTCAGCAAGATGCACACCAAACTCTAAAAATGATTGATGTCAAGAAAATGAAAACTCTTGTTTTTGTTGTCTATATCATTTTTTAAATACAGGATAATGCATTAATAAGGCGTACACATATTCGGAACAATCTGCATTTAAATGGAGGGGAAGACAGGGTCTATATTGGGTATTCTCAGGGTACATGGTAATGTCATAGCCACCATGGTTGTCGATAACAAATCATTCCCTGTTAGCTTCTTTTGTTTGATCAACCAACATGGCATCTGTTTTATAATTATTCATATTTTAAAAGATTTTGAGTCATTTGGAACATTATCATGTCATCGGCAACAGAGCTAGAGAGTTGCGCTGCTTTGGCCCCCAATGTTTTAATGTCAAAGAGCTATATCACAGGGTCTGCA